CAGGCCTCTACTTCCGGTCTATACTTACTATCCACACCTTATGGACAGAGTTAATTTTACAATAATTCTATTATATATATATATATATATATATATATATATATATATATACACATATATATATATATATATATACACATACACATATATATATATATATATACCTATATACTTATTATGGACACAGTATGCTTACATTATTAGCTATCTTTGTTATTATTTGTTGTTATTTGTTATTAGTCCCATCCTTCAACTCTATTCAATACCTCCCATCTATCTCTTAACACCATCCATATAGGATTTCTATTTGCCATATATATTTCAACCGTACTGTGATGTTTTACAAAAGTTCTGAACCTTTCTATTCTCATTGCTTCTACAGATTGTGAATTAAAAATAAAAAAAATTGCTAAAAGTATTATTATATTATTGATTGATTGACTATGACTTTTCAGATCACCCAGTAATGCTATCTGCAAGGTTAGTTCCAGGTAAATATTGCAATCCTTTAGCCATTCCTGGACCTGTGTCCAAAAACAAGCTACAAATGGACAGAACCAAAACAAATGATCTAATGATTCTGTCTCTTCACAGCAAAATCTGCAGAGCTGGGAAGATTGTATCCCCCATATAAATAACATTCTATTGGTAGCAAGAATTTTATATAATAATTTAAATTGAAAGATTCTAATTTTTGAATCCGGTGTCGTTTTGCGTGTCAGTTCATAAACACTATGCCATGGGATCGGTACGTCAAAGATCTCTTCCCAACTATTTTGCAATCTATATGGGACGGCTGTCAATCCTTTGGTCCTTAAGTGAAACTGATATACTTTTTTATTTATCACAGTTTTCCTTAACCAATTATGTTATTTAATGCAAGGCCGACAGACAAGTTCCAATGGTGTACCAATCTTTCACCCCTCCCTCGCTGTCTGGGGCCCCTTCATTTTTGCCCTGTTTTGTTTTTCCCAATGCCCTTAAACAACCCCATTGTGTTCAGTTGGGCTGGCGTATTTCAATAGCTAACAGCTTGTTGACTGAACAATGGGAGGGCATGCAGCCTTGCTCCCCACACTGGGTTCCGGGGGCAAGCTGATACGAGTGCTACATGACTTGGTATATTTGGGTCCAGACGCCCACGCACCCCCAGTCTGAAGTTGATTTACTTAGTGATGTGTGTGAATTCTGGAGTGTTGGGCTGCCTGGAGCTGTCAGTGTCCCGCTGTTTCGGATGCTTTCTTGATCCTTGATCAACCCACCCAGGCCTTTCTCTCCTCTGGGTTGTCCTCAACGCTCCCTTGCCTCGCATCTTCACAAAGATCCAAGCACTGTCCTCTTATCCAAAGATCCAAGCACTGTCCTCTTATCCAAAGATCCAAGCACTGTCCTCTTATCCAAAGATCCAAGACCTGTCCTCTTATCCAAAGATCCAAGCACTGTCCTCTTATCCAAAGATCCAAGCACTGTCCTCTTATCCAAAGATCCAAGACCTGTCCTCTTATCCAAAGATCCAAGCACTGTCCTCTTATCCAAAGATCCAGCACTGTCCTCTTATCCAAAGATCCAAGCACTGTCCTCTTATCCAAGCATAAACCTCTTACTGTGTCACCGCTTTTCTTAACATTAATTTATTAGTTCTGCCGACCATTCTAGATCTCCAAGCCCCCTGAGTGGCCTGTCCCAGTTCCATGGGGAGAGGCTCATGAGACACGCCTCATCACGACCTGGAGGCATTCAGACCCGGTCTTGTTCGGTTCATCTCATCTGAGCTTTCGGAGTATCTCATTGTGTTGCTCAGTTATCTTGACTATGGCTTTACAGTGTGAGAATGAAAGCTGCCATTTCATAGCCATCTTCTGTGTTTTTAGTTTTTCAAACATTTTAACTTTCTTTCCCAGAAGCCAGGAATGCCCTTTTCTAGACTGCTCTGACAGATTTCAGCACCTTGGACAGTAGCACAGTACACTAGGGAAATAAGCGTCCCTCTAAACAATGTATTTGTCCTCTATCCCTTTGGCACGAAGTCCAGGGAGCAAACATAAAAAGCACCAGCCTATTCTTCTTTCCTCTCGCCTCTGCAATGTTAACAGCCTCTCTGATTCTACTCTTTGTGTCTGCTGTTGTCTCACTGAATAGGCTTGTATATTATTGAGCACTGAGACACACACACGCACATGCACAACAACATGTGAGGACACATGGAAGTTCAAATCCCCCCCGCCTGCCCCCCTCCGTCTCCTACTGTCTAGCTTTTGGAACTGGCAGTGCTGTGTTTGTGACTTTGGGTGTCGTCCTGTCCACCCCCGTCACTGTCATCCTCAATGGAGCTGCATGGGTACAGAGGGAGGCGGGTGGGACGGGGGGGACGGGGGGACGGGGGTTTGGGAGAGTGCCGCTCTCCCACAGCGGCCAAATAATAGCCACATCGGATCAGACGACCAGGCGGAGGGCCTAGATAGTAGAGTCAGGATCCAGAGGCAGGAGGGCAGGACAGAGGTGGGAGGACAGGGGGACAGAACCAGTCACAGACGGGGAGGAGTGACCACGGCCCAGGCTACTACAGCCACAGATTAGAACAGAGCTACTGCTTACACAGAGATACAGCTGAGACTGCACTTGAAATAAAGGGGGGAAAGGATTACCAATATCAAATGCTGTTTTAGATTTAACAGGCTTGATATATCTTTATTTAGAGGACAAATTACTGCAGAGTGAGTAAGTGTGTGTTTTGCTGTACAGGTAGTGGGCGGGTGCGATGTGTTGCCAGAGGGTGGAACTAATGTGAGGTGTTCTGTGTTTCCAGTTACTGCAGGTTCTAAAGTGACACCTGGGGGACAGATGGCAGCGTCACGCCCAGAACCACAGGGGGAAGTGCGTCCCAATTCGGCAGAGCAGCAGGTCTTTGCAGCCCTCTCAGGTAAGAGACCTGATGCTGCACTATTTCATAATGTTTACCCTGAAGTATATCTCATATATTGATTTGGAGAGCTAGTAGAGATCTGAACTCAACTCCTACAGGTGTGACTGAAGTGATGTGTTGTTCACCCTTAAAGAGATTATTGTGCTGTCTCAACTCCTACAGGTGTGACTAAAGTGATGTGTTGTTCAGTCTTAAAGAGAGTATTGTTCTGTCTCAACTCCTACAGGTGTGACTGAAGTGATGTGTTGTTCAGTCTTAAAGAGAGTATTGTTCTGTCTCAACTCCTACAGGTGTGACTGAAGTGATGTGTTGTTCAGTCTTAAAGAGAGTATTGTTCTGTCTCAACTCCTACAGGTGTGACTGAAGTGATGTGTTGTTCACCCTTAAATAGAGGACAGTTCTGCATTTTCAGTGTTCAGTTTGTGGTGGAGGGTCTCATGCTTAGTCTACTCACACCCACCTCTCTCTCTCTCTCTCTCTTTGCCTCTCCATCTGTGGATTTGTCTGCTTCCATTTACTTCTCTCTGATCCTTCATTACTCATGCCCTTTTCTCTGCCCCCCCCCCCCCCCCCCTCTTTTGATCTCCTCTTCCTTCCATCTATCTCTCTCCCTCTCTCTCTCGCTCCCTCTATCTCGCTCCCCCTATCTCGCTCCCTCTATCTCTCCAGGCTCCATGGCTGGCATCCCTGATCAGTGGAGCTCCCAGCTCAACAACCAGCCCCAGATGATGGACAGTGGACTGATGGGAGATTCTTCAGGTGGAGTCTTTGACTGAATTGTCAATACTTGAGCAACACACATCCTACATCTTCTTGTCAGAGTAATACCATCCATTACAAGCTACTTATGTCTCTAGATTCCTCGATATGAGGAATTCTTTGTAAATCGATAAGTAGAGCGCCGTCATATATTAAATGGATGATGTACGTTCTTTTGATCATGTCATAATTGGCTATGCAGATTTTCATGATTTCCCATTTTGAACTTCAAATGACGTTTAGTCACACAATAAGAATGTGTGTAAGCTAAAAAAAGAAATATTGTAAACTTGTAATACATTACATAGACTATGCAATGAGTATGAACTCGGTGGCCATTAAACTGAGCACACTGATTTGCCACATTGGTGGCTTGGGAGTTGTGACTGGCCTGATTTGTTATGGGCTGAGTTGAGTTGTGCCTTTACGATGCCAGCCTCGGCAGATACAGCCCCGCCACAACCTTTGTCATCTCAGTGCTACTGAATCACTGCTGAAAGGCTAGTCACTTGAAGACACACACAAAAGGAAACACGCATGCACAGACACACACACTCAGGCAGACACATGCATACACACACACAAACAGTAGCTGTGAATCCCCACGAGGAACCAGATGGATGTCATTTTGAAGGGGTTAGTGGGTGTTTTGTCTGAGTCATTGCTTTATGACTTCAATCGATGTGTCAGAGCCTCATTCTCCCCCCAAGTTCTCTAGCCAACTGCCACCGACATGGAATTCTCATTACCGTGTCACTTCCTCTCTGTCTGTGACTTTTCCACTGCACTTGCCTCAGAAGGTGTTACGAGGCGGTCCTCACTCAGGAGAATGCCCCTCGTTGATGAATAGAAGTCCATTTAGCGGGGCCCATTTTCAAATGTCTCCGTCCCTCGTTTCTGTTTCTGAAAGGCTTCATTCTATCAGTAATCATCTTTTTAACTTTCCTCAATGAGCTCTCTGGATTGACAATGGCTCATTCCATCTGTCTGTGTTATGATTTATGTTCAACCTATTCATTGGCCCGTCTGAGGTTGATCTAAGCTCTGATTGCTACTGCTCTGTGTGACATTTGTCTGACTCTGTATCAGGATCAATTTGAAGAGGTTCTGGGCCCGTATTCACAAAGCACCTCAGACTAGAAGTGCTGATCAAGAATCGGTTTTGCCTTTTAGATTATAATGAATATGATTAAATGGATGGAGTGGGGGTTTGATCCTAGATCAGCACTCCTACTCTGAGATCCTTTGTGAATACAGGTGCTGATTGCTTCTTTGTGTCTGTGTGACAGGTTTCTCCCAGCCTGCCATGGGGATGGAGATGGGGATAGCTCCACTATCGGCAGAGAGGCCTCCCAGCATCGCAGAGCCCCAGAAGCCCCCACCTCAGGCAGCCAACACACCCAAGGACATGTCTGCAGGTAAAAGGAAACACACATTAAGACACACATGACTATGACTATCAGTAACAGTGCCTATACTGAAGTGTCTAACTCAGTACCTAGTTCAGTAACTGTCAGTACCTATCAACATCTTTAGCCAGCTCTTAAGGCCTATGTGTATGTCTTTGTGTCTGTCTGTCTGCCTCTCTTCCTGTTGGCATGGATGTGTGGCATTTGTGGAAGTCATTGTGCACACTAGAGGGTGTTAGGGTTGGGCAGTATCCAGTATTTCCGTCAGTGCACACAAGGGGGCTCTATTTAGCTCAGCTGGTAGAGCACGGCGCTTGTAACGCCAGGGTAGTGGGTTCGATCCCCGGGACCACCCATACACAAAAATGTATGCACGCATGACTGTAAGTCGCTTTGGATAAAAGCGTCTGCTAAATGGCATATTATTATTATTATTATTATTATTATTATTATTATTATTTATTTCCAAACGTTAAACAAAAATAATGCTAACAAAGTACTAGCGAATTCCCATAGCGGACGCTAGCTAAATGCTAACAAGTGCAAGTGAACTTAAACAAATTGCAAGGATAGACACTCCAGCTCCGAAAGTTGTACAAGTATCTAAAAAAGTTTGTTGCACGCACAAAACAAATATTCGACTGCAGGGATCTTGATCCATGAGGGGATTGATTGTCTCTGCTGTAACCAAGAAGCTTGATCTCGCAAGCTAGTCATTTAACTAGCAAGTTAGCAGACCAAATGCATAGCTGGAGCCCTGAGCTGGAGAGAATTTATTTGTCACATCTTAGATAGTTAAACTTTAGTTAAAAGATATTTAGCTGGCAAACATTAGTAGTAAAGTTCAAGTATAACTTGATCACCTCTCTTGCGCTGCACAACAGTGGATCGTCACATCACAAAGGCTCCTGTTTGCTCCTTGCGCTCTTTGTAAAGAAACATACCATGTGACTACCTCAATCAGCTGCTTTGGGGAACTGCTTCATAATGAAAATAAATGCGACAAGCGAAAAAAAAATGCAATTTTCTTTATCTATTAAACTAGTCCACAAGTTCACTGCAGTTATTTCTTTCAAAATAACAACTATTTCCCCCTAATTGTTTTTGGTATACAGTGCATTTGGAAAGTATTCAGACTCCTTCACTTTTTCCACATTTTGTTACGTTACAGCCTTATTCTAAAATGGATTAAATAGTTTTTCCCCCCTCATCAATCTACACACAATACCATATAATTAAAAATAAAAAAATGAAATTTCACATTTACATAAATACTCAGACCCTTTACTCAGTACCTTGTTGAAGCACCTTTAGCAGCGATTACAGCCTTGAGTCTTTTTGGTTATGACACTACAAGTTTGGCACACCTGTATTTGAAGAGTTTCTCCCATTCTTCTCTGCAGATCCTCTCAAGCTGTCAGGTTGGATAGGGAGCGTCACTGCACAGCTATTTTCAGGTCTCTCCAGAGATGTTAGATCGGGTTCAAGTCCGGGCTCTGACTGGGCCACTCAAGGACATTCAGAGACTTGTCACAAAGCCACTCCTGTGTTGTCTCGGCTGTGTGCTTAGGGTCATTGTCCTGTTGGATGGTGAACCTTCGCCCCAGTCTGAGGTCCTGATCGCTCTGGAGCAGGTGATGAGTGTTACCTGGTTTCCAGACGTGACGCTTGGCATTCAGGCTAAATAGTTCAATCTTGGTTTCATCAGACCAGAGAATCTTGTTTCTCATGGTCTGAGTCTTTTAGGTGCCTTTTGGCAAACTCCAAGCGGGCTGTCATGTGCCTTTTACTGAGGAGTGGCTTCCGTCTGGCCGCTCTACCATAAAGGCCTGATTGGTGGAGTGCTGCACAGATGGTTGTCCTTCTGGAAGGATCTCCCATCTCCACAGAGGAACTCTGGAGCTCTATCAGAGTGACCATTGGGTTCTTGGTCAACTCCCTGACCAAGGCCCTTCTCCCCCAATTACTCAGTTTGAACAGACAGCCAGCTCTAGGAAGAGTCTTGGTGGTTCCAAACTTCTTCCATTTAAGAATGATGGAGGCCACTGTGTTCTTGGACCTTCAATTTTTCAGATCTATGCCGTGACACAATCCTGTCTCGGAGCTCTACGGACAATTCCTTTGACCTCATGGCTTGGTTTCTGCTCTGACATGCACCGTCAGCTGTGGGACCTTATATAGACAGGTGTGTGCCTTTCCAAATCATGTCCAATCATTTGAATTTACCACAGGTGGACTCCAATCAAGTTGTAGAAACATCTCAAGGATGATCAATGTAAACAGGATGCACCTGAGCTCAATTTCGAGTCTCATAGCAAAGGGTCTGAATACTTACAGTTGAAGTTGGATGTTTACATACACCTTAGCCAAATACATTTAAACTCGGTTTTTCACAATTCCTGACATTTAATCCTAGTAAAAATTCCCTTTCTTAGGTCAGTTATGATCACCACTTTATTTTAAGAATGTGAAATGTTCGAATAATAGTAGAGAGAATGATTTATTTCAGCTTTTATTTATTTCATCACATTCCCAGTGGGTCAGAACTTTACATACACTCAATTCGTATTTGGTAGCATTGCCTTTAAATTGTTTAAATTGGGTCAAATGTTTCGGGTAGCCTTCCACAAGCTTCCCACAATAAGTTGGGTGAATTTTGACCCATACAGCTGGTGTAACTGAGTCAGGTTTGTAGGCCTCCTTGCTCGCACACGCTTTTTCAGTTCTGCCCACAAATGTTCTATAGGATTGAGGTTAGGGCTTTGTGATGGCCACTCCAATACCTTGACTTTGTTGTCCTTAAGCCATTCTGCCACAACTTTGGAAGTATGCTTGGGGTCATTGTCAATTTGGAAGACCCATTTGCGACCAAGCTTTAACTTCCTGACTGATGTCTTGAGATGTTGCTTCAATATATCCACCAAATTTTCCTTCCTCATGATGCCATCTATTTTGTGAAGTGCACCAGTCCCTCCTGCAGCAAAGCACCCCCACAGCATGATGCTGCCACCCCCGTGCTTCACGGTTGGGATGGTGTTCTTCGGCTTGCAAGTGTCCCCTTTTTCTTCCAAACATAACGATGGTCATTATGGCCAAACAGTTATATTTTTGTTTCATCAGACCAGAGGACATTTCTCCAAAAAGTACAATCTTTGCGCAGTTGCAGACCGTAGTCTGGCTTTTTTTATGGCGGTTTTGGAGCAGTGGCTTCTTCCTTGCTGAGCGGCCTTTCAGGTTATGTCGATATAGGACTCGTTTTACTCTGGATATAGATACTTTTATACCTGTTTCCTCCAGCATCTTCACAATGTCCTTTGCTTTTGTTCTGGGATTGATTTGCACTTTTCCCACCAAAGTACGTTCATCTCTAGGAGACAGAAAGCGTCTCCTTCCTGAGCGGTATGACGGCTGCGTGGTCCCATGGTGTTTATACTTGCGTACTATTGTTTGTACAGATGAACGTGGTACCTTCAGGCGTTTGGAAATTGCTCCCAAGGATGAACCAGACTTGTGGAGGTCTACATTTTTTTTCTGAGGTCTTGGCTGATTTCTTTAGATTTTCCCATGATGTCAAGCAAAGAGGCATTGAGTTTGAAGATAGGCCTTGAAATACATCCACAGGTACACCTACAATTGACTCAAATGATGTCAATTAGCCTATCAGAAGCTTCTAAAGCCATGACATCATTTTCTGGAATTTTCCAAGCTGTTTAAAGGCACAGTCAACTTAGTGTATGTAAACTTCTGACCCACTGGAATTGTGATACAGTGAATTATAAGTGCAATAATCTGTCTGTAAACAATTGTTGGAAAAATGACTTGTGTCATGCACAAAGTAGATGTCCTAACCGACTTGCCAAAACTATAGTTTGTGGAGTGGTTGAAAAACGAGTTTTAATGACTCCAACCTAAGTGTATGTAAACTTCCGACTTCAACTGTATGTAAATAAGGTATTTCTGTTTTAAATGTTTTGTACATTTGCTAAAATTTCTAAAAACCTGTTTTCACTTTGTCATTATGGGGTATTGTGTGTAGATTGATGAGGGGAAAAAATAATTGAATCTATTTTAGAATAAGGCTGTAACGTAACAAAGTGGAAAAAGTCAAGGGGTATGAATACTTTCCGAATGCACTGTATATTTTAAAAAAAATTGAGGGGGGGGGGGGGATATTGACGGTATTGAAAATCATACTGTGGGTATTTCAAAATACCTCGGTATTCGGTATACCGCCCAAGCCTTGAGTGTTGCCACCAATCCTTACATGCCGATGCCATCTGTCAATCCCCGCCCATCCCCTCACCCCACTTATCTCCTCCACATAGTCTCATCCCAGTGCCACCTCCCCTTGCCAGTATACCCAGTGGCAGCCAGCCCCTACCCCTCCTCCATACCTCATGCCCAGTTCAGTTGATGAGGTCTGGATTTTGGCTGAGGGCTTATGGGCTTAGAGCACATCACCCAATCCGACCGCCAACTCTGCTCCTGTGTAGATAATCCTCACACGGGGCACCTATGGAACTTTTGTACTAATGCCCTCTCTTGTCCACTGAGGCACGCTGTAGCTAGAGCTGTGGCTGTCTCCTTCCACTCACTGGGTAGAGCCTCTGCTGGGAATACCCTACACTCCAATAGACCTCAGATGGTATAGAATACCTTATGTCATCATGTTGTGGCTATTGTCACTCAGCATTCTCATAACATACCAGGGGCCACATGGCTATAGCACAGCTGAGACCCAGTGTTATTCTACTACACAGTAGGTCAGGGGTCGGTGGGCCAAAACTGTCCCGGTAGTGTATTTTTTACCCCCTGATCTGTTCCCAAGTATTCCCACGAAAATGAAAGAGGGGCTGAATCTAGTTGCCTACCCATGCAGTAGGTGGTCTGCACCATTTCCCACTAGCATGTTTGTGTAGGAATAGCATTTAGCTGGTGTGTGTGTGTGTGTGTGTGTGTGTGTGTGTGTGTGTGTGTGTGTGTGTGTGTGTGTGTGTGTGTGTGTGTTTAACTATACTTGCGAGGTCCAGAAGTCCCCACAAAAATAGTAAAGCAACACAAATTTCACCAACTGGGGACATTTTGTTAGTCCCCACAAGGTCAAATGCTATTCCTAGGGGGTTTAGGGTTAGTTTTAGGGTTAGGAGCTAGGGTTAAGGTTGGGTTAAGGTTAAGGTTAGGGTAAGGGTACGGGTTAGGGTTAGGTATGGGGTTAGGGAAAATAGGATTTTGAATGGGACTGAATTGTATGTCCCCACAAGGTTAGCTGCGCAAGACTGTGTGTGTGTGTGTGTGTGTGTGTGTGTGTGTGTGTGTGTGTGACTAAAGGCACGCAACACTGTCTGGTACTGAATAAGTTATAGGCTGCAGACCGTTTGGAAGCCTGAGGCTGAAAGATAAACTTCACAGGCGTCTGTTCACAACCCTGCCTGTGGAAAATGATCTCCAAACTACAGAACTTGCCTGTGTAGAGAATGAATCATTTAGAACTCGATATGGGGAAACTCATTTGATCAGTACAATATCTGAATGCATCTTGCATTCATGTTTACCCCTGGAAGACTCTCCTGCTAGTGAGGGGAAAAAAGTGTCCCGTTATGACTCACCCACCCCTCTCTTGTCAGAGACACTCTAGCTCATGGGAAGAATAACAACTACCACAATAATTAACAAACAAAACATCCTCTGCTACAAAAGTCATTAAGTATTTATGTATTACAACTAAGTCAGGGTTATGTTCAGTGTCTCATGTTTCCCATGTGTTAACATTAGCCTAGCATGCTAGCTAAGCGTGTCTGCGCTGAACAGAGTTGTGAGGGTAAGGGCTTGGAACCCAGTGGATCAGAAGTGCTACAGTGACCTTATACGTGCCGAACAGCACCATTGTGCTGCATTAGTCATGGAGCCAGTCACACCCCTGGAGACCTGGGGATACTGTACCACACCCTGGTTCGGTACTTCGAGAGAACCACGATGGCTACCAAGACATCCTGTTGCTGTTCATCACAGGAACAGCTTCAACAGCTCCCCAGAGCATTGAGGGAGCGGCTCTAAGTGCTCCTTCATTGTCTCTCGTCTCTGCTCTAACATACTAAGTCAGTTTCTGTCATGTGTGCTTGATTAATGTAAAATATGACCCTCGAGACAAACCTTATAGGGCACGATAAAGAGCTGCTCCATTTTGAGTTTCAGTATTCAAAAGGCTAGAGAGACAACTGGGGCAAAGTGGCCCAGCTTTATTGGGTAATCACTTCCTCTAAAACCCTTCCTCCTCCATTGCTCCATCCCTCCATTCCTCCATTCCTCCTCTCCCCAGCTTGGCAGCATGGGGCTCTAGAATTTAACTAGCTACAAGGAACAATCCAGGAAAGGAAACAATCCCATATCAATCACAACACGATTGACCGTAAATGTAATGTCAAAATGTAGATTTCCACCTAAAAAGACAAATCCAAAAGTAATTATTTGTCATGAGAGTGCCATAAACAATACCTACTGTAGTAATGCTTATACCAATAAAAATATTAAAATCTCACCTTTCTGGTAAAAATTGTCATAAATTGCTGAGGTGTAGTCACTTTTGAGGACACCAGCTCAATTACACAGTACAGATACTGTATCATAAAAGTATGAAAATATAGAAAATCATATACGATTTCTTTCCTATTTAACAAAAGTGGGGGAAGAGGGCTTGAAATGATTGAATGCTTTCTAAATATAGTAACAATCAAATACTAAACAACTGACTATAATATTTTACCTTGTTTATTATATATAAATATCATCATACTTTGTGACAGTACAAAATTGGCACCATTTCATATAACTGACGTCATAACGTCATTCAAATGCCTGCCCACTCGTTACAACTTCAGCTTTAAGCACAATGATTTTGTCCTTCTGTGACCAAGGGAGTGGTCTAGTTTCAATTCTGCAAAATCATTTTGTTTCGTTTCATGTTGAGAGCTCTAAATCCATATAAGAACATCACAGCAAGATGAGACTGCTTTTGCTGCAATCGCTAGTCTACCGTTTCATATGCCGTATTGTAGGCGGAGCTGCAAGGTTCACAGGCAGAGGAAATGTGTTCTTTGTCTGGATAGGCCAGAAAATGTGGCACGTCGCACCCTATTAAAATGAGGTGTCAGATTAAACATATTGCATCTCAAATTAAAGCAGAGGGCGGCATGTGAAGTGGGACAACCAGAGCCTTCACAGAGTGCGCTGCAATTGATGTTGCACCGTTCACAGAGCGCTCTGTAGACAAACATTTCAATGCCTATACTGTATTATAAAACTCTGTGTGTTGTCTGTGCCTGTTTCTGTGTACTTTACCAAATTGCTTTGTTTGTGTATGTATTTACTGCGTTCAATCACATCTTTCTCCTCCTCCTAAAATCTCATTCAGTACACCAGTATGTCACTAGGGTAGCACGGAGTCAGCAGCCAAAAAGCCACAGTATTACCAATCCTTCAGCGTGACTATTCATTCACACAGGGGTTACTGAGGCAGCGGGCCTTTTGCATCAAGATTTCCTCATTACTTTTTATTTTTTTCGACTTTGTGTGTGTGAGTGCCATTGACGGTATTAACTGTAAAATACCATATTTGGAGGAGGATTTGTTTTTTGGGGGGAAGTATTACATTTTACAGATGTTGGAATCTGTCTCTTAGAAATTGCAGCTCCTACACTCCCAAAGTTCAGTTATATTGAATGGACCATCAATGAACGTCTACAGCTGTAAAGATGCACACAATATCAGTTACTACTCTCATTTCTTAGACTGCACTGTTGAACTTGTTTTTTTTGTTTTTTCAAAGTAAGTGAGCCCTTTGAAGTTCATGCTTTTGTCTAGATGAGAGAGAGAGAGACTGTGTGTATGCATGCATGCTTTAAACTCTCTTCCCTCTTCACACACGAGGTGCCCTAGGCGATGGCTGGCCAGACGAGGCTTGCATTCCCACCGACCTGCCATTCACCCCCAGCGTCTCCACGGTGATCAGTCGCCATGCCAGCCACCTGGCGGCCAGCCCCGAGGACCGCCCTGACTCTGGCTGGCCCCACCGAGAGTCCTCGGCCGTGGGGGAGGAGAGGGAAAGCAACGAAGGAAACGACCGCAAACAACAGCAGAAGAAGAAGAAGAAAAGGAGGCCCCGGGACGACGTGTACGACCTGGTGGAGAACAGGGGCCACCTGGAGGCTCAGGCTGAGAACACACCCCTGTCAGAGGGCCACCACAGGGTCTCCCCCCGCAAGGACAGGGACAGGATAGATGGAGGCTGGGAGCGCGAAGAGCCAGGGAGAAGTGGAGGCAGGGGAAAGAGGGGCAAGAGCAGGAAGAAGCTTCCAGAAGAGTGGGGAGTCACAGCCGAGCCCTTCGTGCCCTCCTCTGCCTCCTCTGCCAATGAGCTCCCTGAAGGTGTGTTAGACCAACTAGTGCCCCCCATCACCCATTCCCAGCCCCTGGAGAACCCCTACTCCAACATGGAACTGAGTCCAGCCAGTGAGGAGTTCTACCCAGACGAGGGCCTCATCCCTCCATCTCTCACCCAGGACCTGCTCTCTCTCACAGCTCCCACCTCCCCTCCATCGGCCCGGGGCTGTGAGCTCCTGCCCACCGCCCCCATCTCCATGCCCACCAGTCAGGGAGACTTCTCGCCGAAGTGCACGTTCCCCATGGCCCCACGTCCAGGAGACCCATTCACCGCTAGCTACCAAGACCTGCTCATGGATACGGAGAACGCCAAAGAGGCTTTCTCCACAACCTTTCCCCTAGATTCCCCAGTTCATCAGTCGGGGGTCAATGTGGTGTTTGATCATGACACCCCCATGCAGGATGTCCATATGAAATATGCCTTAAGTTTAAGCCCCACCCACCAACCAGATCGTGACCTATCCCCATTGGAGAAGTTCAGTGAGCTCACAGCGACCGCTCCCCCTTTCTCCCCCTCCGACAGCTCCTGGCTCATCAACGACTCCCACTTCAACAACGACTCCTTTGAGTTCAGTGACATCACTCCAGGGCGCCCCCTACCTCTGGGCCTGGCCTTCGACACACCCAGCCCAGCCCCCCTCCGCTCCCCCAAAACCATACCCGAATTCCACCCCAAAGAGGGCAAATCCCCACCACAGAAGATAACCAAGAAGTCCCAATCCTCCTCCTCCTCTTCCACCAAAAGCCCCACCTCCCCGGGGTCTGGTCTGAACCCCGCTGCCAAGCCCTTCTTCCCCAGCTTTGCCGACCTCACGGAGCCCCTGGTGGTGGTGGCCCCCATGTCTGAAGGTTTGTTGCAGTGGCGTGTGCTCTCCACTAGGGGGATTGGAGGATTGGAGGAGTAGCCCCATACCTTGCATGGGCATGTGGTGCTAAGGCTGGGCTGGGACCGACCCAATAGCCCAGTCTAGACAGCCTGACTGACTAACATATAGGCTCCCCGAAAAGATGCACTCTGTCCGAGGGGCTTGGGTTTTTGGGGGGTTTCCTCTCACCCACAAGGCACTGCTGCGTCTGGGCAGTGCTGGAGTGTTCTCATTAACCCTGTGTGGTCAAGGGTGCGCTACTAACCACCACAGACACTCACCACACATAGCGTCAACAGTTTCCCCAGCACTTTCTTTCATAACCAAACCTCTCTCTCTCTCTCCCTTCCTTCCTGCTGTATCCAGGTGTCTCTGATAACAGTCTAGTGTGTGTCTACTGGGCCTCCATGACTCGTCTTTGTCTCCTCTGTGTTGAATTAACATTGGTTTCCTTGTCTTCTTCTCTTTAGCTAACATTTCTTCCAGAGAGGAGCCTCTAAACAGTTCTCTGTGGATGTTTTGTCCAAACCGCTGCAGTGCATGACCACTCTCTAACCAAAGCATGCCTGAAGGAATGTACACTCCAATCAGATTCTCATAATCTCCTTCTCTCTTTCCATGTCCTGCCGATTTGCATGTCCCTTTTGCCTCCACGACGGCCACCCCAATAGGTGAGTCAGAAATCGTATTGATATTTTTTGGGAATAAATTGTGGGAAATAGTTTCAATACCGGGAATAATTCATATTTATCCCGAGAGTCCCGGGAAATACAGCAAAAATCAGAAGTGCCCATTTAAAGCCTTTAAATCCAAGATATGGTCACTATGGCAGGGTTCTCGCGAAATAAGAGGGGCGCTGCGCCACCGTGTAAAGATTTAAGAGCAAGATATTTAGTAATGATATAGTAACTATCTTTGAATTGCGAAACAGGCTGTTCATAAATTCAGAGTGTTCTCATGTTCCTCAATTAATTCAGCACATTTCACCAGTGGTTCTCGACACAGAGTGCACTCAGGAAGCACAGATCGCATCCCGAGTATAACGTTGTAACAGCAGTCAAACAAAAGTCAAATGACCAAAGTTGCTAAGCTTGCTAGATAACCTCCTTCAATGAATGACAGAATATCTCCTATATTTGGCCAAATCGAGTTGATGATTATACAGATAGCAGATCAGCTCAAGCATAACCAGGAGATGAAGAGTGGAAATAGTTTAAATATCAAGGTATCTTAACGGGGACCAATTCTGTTTTTAAAAAATCCATATCTACTCTCATTGTTGATCACACATTCTCTACCGAAGCGCTCATATGGGCAGCAAGTACGAGACAGCGCAGAGAAGCAGGTGAAATGTCATAGAGATATTTTGACATGCATAGGCGAGAGACGTGCTTTGATAATGCAACCTATCGATTACAGAATAAAGTTAGGAATTTTAATGCGAGTCAGGATTTTGGGTTTCAGTGGGATTGGGACTGGATAGAAAAATAGCCTAGGCTCTAGGACAGGAGAAGGTAGAATTTTCCCTCATGCCTTTTTTTACAGACTTCATGTCTGTGACAGAAATGCCTATGTAGTGAATTGTGCATAGGCCTATCAACTTTGTGACTGTCCGAAGAGTCACAATGACAGCTCAAAGAGGCACACATTATTTTATAGGCTATACTGTAGAGGTTTCCTGTAGGGTTTATTAAATGCATTCGGGTCGTGTGTGCAGTCCGTGTCAATTATGCGTGTGCTTTGAATTTATGGCAACTTTGTGTGAAGTAAATATTCTAGGCTAAAGACGTCCATGCAGCAACCTCTTTGGATAATGTGCAATTAGATTTTTTGCTAATCTGCTGCTGTGCATGTTATGTATTTTGTGAAATTGCATTAGTGCCACATTGGAGAAACATTTTGTAATTTCCCGGGTCTTGTCATAATTCTTTGGGGGAAATGTGAAGAGTGTTCCTGGGACAGTCCCGGGATCCCGGTTACCCATCTTAATCCCTAGTGGGAAATACATTCTGGCAAATTGTGGGAAAGTCTTGCGTTGCAATGCACCACAGTGAAGCAATCTCTTTGAGACAGGGCGAGACGGGTTGAAAAAGGTGGCTTGGGCCTGAATCCAAGGAGGTGGAGACACTAGGACAGGAAGTGGAATATATAATAGAATTGAGAGAGAGGTTGTTTTAGGAGACAGGCACACTTGTTTGAGAGCTCTAGATGTTGGCTAGCACCCCCTGGGTCTCCCCTGGTGTTCTGTGTGCTCTCTCCGAAGGCCGGGAGGGCTGAGTGAAGGTTAGCCGAACCCTCCCGTAGAGTCGCTTACATAAGCTGCCATGTTCAGGCCGAGGCACCCCTCTGGCACCTTGACTCTCACTGAGCTGAGAGGGGTGAGGACCCCAAACCCCCTCTAACCCCTCCCTCCCAGGCAACTTGCCCAGAATGAACTGCAGCCAGAATAGTATTGTCCAATGAGACAGAACTTTCAGCACACTCTATACTCTCGCTGCTGTTTCACAGTATTTCTCCCATTTTCCCTTTACATAATAAAGGTACTGGAATTTACACACCTCTTCCTTTCTAGTGCAGTCATCCGGTGGTGATGACTGACACTTTAATTCCACAGTAGTTGCTCACAGGAGCAAGTGGTAAACAAGCGTTACAGTCAGTTTTTTATCACAGTTTTATTCTAAGCCATGCTTATTCAAGATACAGCTGCCACAGCCAATTAGATGCCGCCTTCACCATCAGGCAGCTTTAAGTGAGTGCATAATGCCCAAACAACACACATTTATATATATTTATTTATTTTGGCATCAGGGTTCCTCCGTAATGAAGAGTTATGACAGTCCCAACGCTTTTTCCCTTCCTCGGATTCACTTTGTAAAAATTGTCCGCCGAGTAGCGTGTGAAATATTTGTTTATTTATGAGCGCCTCGGCGAGCTGCCAGTATATAAATAGATCATGTTGACACTCGGCGTTACAGCGCAGCTCAGCAGGCACCACTCTGATTAATGAAGAAGCAGACGGGTAGATTCAGTTTGCCGTTTCATCCCGCATCACTTCCTGTCTGTGGCTTCGTCATCAGCTCGGTGTAGACAGAGATTCATTCTAATGAGATGTGAGCCCGTTATTCACCTGTGGAGATAGATAGGGAAACAGTGAAGTGTATAAACTGGCAATTAAGCTGTTTTTGATCAATGTTTGGGAGATACACAGCTGTCTCTGTTGCCCATCTGTAATTTGCCCTCTTTGTCAGTGTTCCGGGGTGGAGCTGTGTCACTGGGGGTGCTCTTTAGGCCCTGTAGGAGACAGGAGACAGGGCTGCTGTGTCCCAGCCCATCCCTCACCCAGCATGCTCTTTCTCTGGGGATGAAGGACGAGATTAGCCCAACAGCAGTGTGTGTGTGTGTTCTGTGTCTGATGATTTGTTCAGTGTTTGAAGTTCAGTAGACAATTTTTGTTGTTACGCATACGAGTGGGAAAAGTGCTCTGTTAGCTCAGGGCAAAGTCCTTTGACAGCTCAGCCACTGCCACTCAGTATCTGAGTGTGTGTGTGTTTGTGTTTTTCATTCAGCACAGGCCAGAGATTAAGCACCTCTCAGCTTCAGTGAAGATGATTCTATTTTAACAGCGTTTTAGTATAGCTCTAACCTGATAAACAGATTTCAACACAAAGTAGTATTGGATTGCCTCTATCGGAGTAAATATCGCAAAGATGGACTTTCACAATTATGACAGTACTTTAGAGTGCTATCATATTGACTTGGTCTTAGTGGGGTGCGTGTGTGCTGTTATGGGTGTTAGATAAAGTTAGTCTGACCTTGATCCCCCTCATTACCAGTCTGTTGGTGTATTTATAGACCAACCAATACGGAGCATATCCTTGCCCTCACTAAGTCTCTCTCTCATGCACAACCCACCCACTCCACCTACCGCCTGTGACCCAATGTAATATGTAACCGACTGGCTTGATTCGGTCTTATGTAGCAACATTTGAAATTGTGTTTTTTACATTGGATAAAAGTAGAGACTCAGAGCTAGAAAATGGTATATCATACACTACAGTTGAGGAACAATGGGAAAGTCATTCTGCTTTGAAAGTTGATAAACTTGTAAATGTGTTTTACACCTACTGGAGAGCTCTTCTTTGTCTGCACCCTTTCAGCATCGTTCACACCCTCTAAAGCCTTAGCCCCACCCATCTCTTTAAGGATTCACATCTGAGGCCATGTACTAAACAACCAAAGATTTCAAGACGAAAGGATGGTTTATACTACGGGTGTTCGTCATTTTAATCTGGAGTGCCAGAGTGTGCTCAGAGTGCGTTCTGGGCGTTTGTAAACTCAAAGCATTGTCAGATTGTCCGTTTGTAAATTCAGAGCGTTTCGCTCTCTAAGCGTTCAGAGCGCACACTGGACGCTCTGGCCGAGGAGTAGGGTTGATCCGAGCGTTCTGACCTAACAACAGCAGTCAAGCACCCAAGCTAACTGGCTAACGTTGGCTACTTCCAGACACAAATGAGAGAACAGCTCACTCTGACCATTTTACTCACATTAGCAGAGCTGGTTAGGCTGTTTTTATGTTATCATTTACATTTACATTTTAGTCATTTAGCAGACGCTCTTATCCAGAGCGACCTACAGTTTCTTAGTGAGTGCATACATTTTCATACTGGTCCCCCGTGGGAATCGAACCAGAGCATTGGTGACTGCAATTGTGCTGCTGGCAACAATTTAATTATGCTTTTTTGCCAGCGTTTACTGACACCGACCATATTCAACGGGTGTTGAGCGTTTGTAAATTCATCAGTTATTTTACCAGCTACGTCTATCGACAGTTGTCACAGTGACATCATGAACATTCTATTGAAATGGTTACTTGCATAGTGGAGTCTTTTGTTTAGACATGTAGCTAGCTAGCTAAACAATTAACCATAATCCCAATTTATAACGTTACTACCCTGCATGAATCTGCAGGTAGCTAACCAACCAGGTTCAATGTTAGCTAGCTAACATTAGGCTATAACTAGCAATGCAAATGGCTTTGA